TTCTGTTTCCCGCACTGTCTCCTCCCCACCCAAGAGCACCCCAGAGCCCTTAGCTTTCTGCAGTTGGGCCTTGCGCCACTGGATCTCATGGCGCAAGTTGGTGGCGAAGCGGTCACTGCGGCGGCGCATCTGGGCAGAGCGGTGCTGCATCGACCCGCCTTTCCTAGGAGCCGAGGGGGCCCCTTCTGCATCCCGGACCCCCTCCGTTGCAGCATTCAGGGAAGGGGCCGCTGGGAAGTCCCTGCCGGCCGCATCTCCAGCCGGCTGCCGTGGCGAGGGCGACCCCAACTCGACGGAGGCGCTCCGGGGTCTCTCGTGTCCAGGGTGCCGGCCTTGGGGGGAACAGGAGCCTCCCCCCCACCCTGGACGAGAGTGGCCAGGAGAGGCACAGCTGCCCTGATCCTGATCCTGATCCCGCCACGGCTCGGGGGTTCTGGGACCTCTTTGCTCAGCGTGCAGCGGAGACACAGTCCAGCGGGGGTCCTCCTGGCCGGGGGCCACGTGCAGGGCCTGTAGCTGGGCAGCCAGCAGGTGCTCGGGGGCGCTGTGCCGGTGGCCCAAAGGGCCCGGCCAGCTGGCCTTCCAGGCAGAGGAGCTCATGTCATGGGGGCCCAGCTCCCCCTCCTGCTCCTTTCTTTCCATGCCGTGGGGGGGATGGCTTTGCGAGGGGTGCCCCCCCACCTGCTCATTCAAGAGAGACTCTGTGCTGGAGGCACCCTTCTCCATGGGTGGGGGGTGAGGGTCCGCGTGGGAGCTCAGCAGGTAGTACTGTTCGGCGGACAGAGAGCCCTTTGCGTGCCCGGCGGAGGCCGGCTGCCCACTCGGCCCTCGAGGGTCCCTGCCCTGGGGGCACAGAGACGAGTCCGAAGTCCACCGCCCCTTCGGGTGCAGGGAGTCCACCCCGGTGGCCTCTGGCGGGGCGTTGCAGGCCCGCAGGCTGTCCTGCCTCACCGGAGGCAGTGGAGGGGGGGCAGCCCCTTTGGCCAAGCCAGAGGAGGGGTTGGCGGGAGTGCAGGAGGCTGGCCGGAGGCCGGGGGCCAGCAAGGCGGCTGGAGAGTGCCGGCTGGCTGGCTCACTGCCCTCGCTGCCCGTCTGGAGGTACCGGTGGTCCGGCAGGAAGCCCGGCGGGTGGCCTTCGGCAGGGCTGTTCTCCTCGGGTCTCAGGGCAGAATCAGAGGTGGTCGAGCTGGCCGAGAAGGAGCTGTAGGCAGAGTCCCGCTTGTTCTGGAACATGGCCTGGTCGATGGGGGAGAGGCTGCCCTCGTAGTAGGAGGTCTGGCTGGGAGGGTCCAGGCTGTCCATGCTCCCCAGCGAGCTGCTCTTCTCTGTGCTGCAGTGGCGGGACAGGGGGGTCCAGGGCGAGGAGAGGTCGCTGGCGGAGGAGGAGGAGGGAGAGGAACATCCACGTGAGGAGGAGGATGCTGGACACCTGTACCTCTCCCCCCAAAAAAGCCCCAAAGCCCACGGACCGCCCTGCCACACACCCTGATCCTGAGCCGGGCCCCTCTTGTCCAGAGCCACTTCCTGCCTGAATGGCTCCTACTCTGAGTGCGAGGGGCCTCT